AATCCTTTGCAGTCAATTACAGCCTGAAGTGTGGAACGCATAGACATCACCAGACGCTGGGTTTCATCCCTGCTGATACTCTGCCAGGCCTCTACTGCAACTGTCTTCAGTTCCTGCTTGTTCTTGGGGCATTTTCCCTTCAGTTTTGCCTTCAGCAAGTGAAATCCATGTTCAATCGAATTCAGGTCAGGTGATTGACTTGGCCATTGCATAACATTCCACTTCTTTCCCTTAAACTCTTTGGTTGCTTTTGCAGTATGCTTTGGGTCATTGTCCATCTGCACTGTGAAGCGGCGTCCAATGAGTTGTGAAGCATTTGGCTGAATATGAGCAGATAATATTGCCCGAAACACTTCAGAATTCATCCTGCTGCTTTTGTCAGCAGTCACATCATCAATAAATACAAGAGAACCAGTTCCATTGGCAGCATACATGCCCACGCCATGACACTACCACCACCATGCTTCACTGATGAGGTGGTATGCTTAGGATCATGAGCAGTTCCTTTCCTTCTCCATACTCTTCTCTTCCCATCACTCTGGTACAAGTTGATCTTGGTCTCATCTGTCCATAGGATGTTGTTCCAGAACTGTGAAGGCTTTTTTAGATGTCGTTTGGCAAACTCTAATCTGGCCTTCCTGTTTTTGAGGCTCACCAATGGTTTCCATCTTGTGGTGGACCTTCTGTATTCACTCTGGTGAAGTCTTCTCTTGATTGTTGACTTTGACACACATGCACTTACCTCCTGGAGAGTGTTCTTGATCTGGCCAACTGTTGTGAAGGGTGTTTTCTTCACTGGGGAAAGAATTCTTCGGTCATCCACCACAGTTGTTTTCCGTGGTCTTCCGGGTCTTTTGGTGTTGCTGAGCTCACCGGTACGTTCTTTCTTTTTAAGAATGTTCCAAACAGTTGTTGTGGCCACGCCTAATGTTTTTGCTATCTCTCTGATGGGTTTGTTTTGTTTTTTCAGCCTAATGATGGCTTGCTTCACTGATAGTGACAGCTCTTTGGATCTCATCTTGAGAGTTGACAGCAACAGATTCCAAATGCAAATAGCACACTTGAAATGAACTCTGGACCTTTTATCTGCTCATTGTATTTGGGATAATGAGGGAATAACACACACCTGGCCATGGAACAGCTGAGAAGCCAACTGTCCCATTACTTTTGGTCCCTTAACAAGTGGGAGGCACATATGCAAACTGTTGTAATTCCTACACCGTTCACCTGATTTGGATGTAAATACCCTCAAATTAAAGCTGACAGTCTGCAGTTAAAGCACATCTTGTTCGTTTCATTTCAAATCCATTGTGGTGGTGTATAGAGCCAAAAATGTTAGAATTGTGTCGATGTCCCAATATTTATGGACCTGACTGTATATGATTAACTTTTTTTTTTCTCAAAAACGTCTTCCAGGACAGCCCCTTGAGACGTGGAGCTCCTCCCTTCGGGACAGGAAACAAGTAAGCCCAGAACCTTAAAAGGGGGACCTCCAGGCCTCCCTCTTACTGCTTGATGGTATCAGTTAGGGAACTATGGACTGGAAAGACCCTAATACTGATTAGTGTTTCCTCTGGAAGGTTAGGTTGCACATTTTAGGAACCCAGTATAAGGAGCCCTAGGCTCAAGAGCAGTGCTGGTGGCTACTGGGCAGTAAAGTTACCTCCTCCTTGCCCGACACGATCCCGTCATAACGTAAGAGGAGTGAGGCTGCGCTCCTGTTGCTTTCCAGTTCTCAGAGGAGGAGAGCCATCACCATAGAGGACTGGCCGGCTCAGCGTCCTAACCGCCGGCAAACTGCCGCAAGTTTCGCGAGGTGGAGCAGCTGGTTGACCGGAGGTTCCTGTCGGAGTGACTTCATCGGTGGGTGCCGGGAGATGTGTGGTTCCGGTCTCCACGGCGACGCAGGCAACAGTGCTCGGGTGGCTGTTGCAGAGTGAAAGAGACCCAGCAGAGGCTTTGGCTATCACACCATAGGAACAGAATGGAGGGCGCTGGCCTCCCCCAGCAGGCGGACCCTGGTTTCTCAGGCTCCGGCTCCTCTCAGGTAAGCTTGGGGATTTGGTGTCTCCCTCTTGCTTATTCCTGGGGGTAGTCTTTCTCCCAGTCACTGAGTCTCAAGTGATGGTGGGGCACACGTCTGTTTTCTCCCCCAGCACAGTGGTGTTTGGAATGAGGAGCCCAGGCTCATTGTTCTGTATTGTGTTTTTGCTTGTTGTAGGTTAAAGCCCAAGACAAGACACAGAATCAGGCCCCCAAAAGGCAGTGTGCAGTTTGTGCGGCAAAATTTGGTTCAGCTTGAGAAAAGCCGCAATAGTCTAATTAATGATGAGTCATTTACAACCTGCCATAGGTTTCTCACTTCCATGAAGTATGACATGACTACATTTCAGTCATTTAGAGCCTTGCTGGATAGGATGCAGACGCCGCTGGGGCCTTGGACCCAGTCTGCGGGTACTCCGGTAACGGAATCATTAAGCCGAAGAGTGGAGGACCTGAAGGAGGATCCCAGTCCCCTTGCTTCCTCGCAAGTGGGGTCTGGCTCAGAGGAGAACGATGGAGAATGTTGCGCCTCCTGAGGTTCCAGGTACAAATTGACTCTTGATGTAGATGACCTCCTTAAGGCTATCTATGAAACATTAGAGATTGAGGAGGAGGATGTATGTTTGTCTAAGCATGACCTCATGTATCAGGGTCTACATGCAAAATAGACTAGGGGCTTTCCAGTCCATAGTTCCCTGGTTGATACCATCAAACTGGAGTGGGAGAACCCTGAAAGGAAGCCCTTTTTCTGTTAAGAAAAAGGAGATTTACTTTAGAGGAGGATGGATCCCAGCCAAGGTTCCAAAGTTGGACACCCCCTTATCTAAAGTCTCTAAGAAGACTGACCTAACATTTGAAGATATGGGGGCTCTAAAGGATCCTATGGATAAGAGAGGAGAAATTTTGCTCTGGAGAGCCTGGGATTCTACCTCCATCAGCTTTAAGCTGGCTTTATCGGCCACCTGTGTCGCCAGAAATCTTGAATGCTGGCTTACCCAGTTATAGATGCATCTCTCGGCAGGGACTTCCAGGTAATAAATATTGAAATCCTTTCCTTTGCTGTTTAGAGCAGTAGGTTTCCTCGCTGATGCCACGGCCGAATCAGTTAAACTAGCTGCAACAACATCGGCCCTGGTGAATTCGGCAAGAATGGCATTATATAGTTAAAGACCTGGGCAGGGGACTCATCGTCCAAGCTGCGCCTTTGTGCCTTACCATTTTCAGTTAATAACCTTTTCAGTCCAGGTCTCCAGGAAGCCTTGGAGTGATAGAGGGTGTTTCCAGAGAGTTAAGATAGATCTTACTCCAGGAGTAAAAAAAAAACGCAGGGCCACCAAGGTAAGGATGTCCAGCCTAAGAAACATTGGACAGTGCACAAGAACAAGGGTAGGGGGGGATCTTATTCAGTCCTTCTCAGGGCCCCGCTAAGTCTCAATGACTTGAGCGTCCCAGTGGGAGAAAGACTAGGGACCCCACTGCAGTCTTTTCTTCCGAGGGTTTGGAACGAGGACAAGTCTGTGCTGGATCTTCCAGTCTGGCTCCCTTCCAGGTTCAAGAGATCCCTTTTGGTGGTGGCGAATTCAGTACAGTCTTTGCAGGGGTCTGGAATGGGCGACACCATATCCAGTTATCACGACCGATGCCAGCAGCCTTGGATGGGGATCCCATCTAGGCGACAGAGCAGCCCAGGGGTCGTGGTCCTTGTGGGAAGCTTGAAGTTCCTCAAATCAGAGGGAGCTTCTAGTAGTCCAGTGAGTGCTGGATGCCTTTCAAGCGGATCTAAAGGACCGCCACCTGCAGAGCTATTAAGACAATATGACTACGGTGGCATACATCCACAAGCAGGGGGGTGCAAAAAGCCCTCCTCTCCAAGCAATCATGGACAGCATTTTGTCTTGAGCTGAGCAAAATTTGTGTTGAATATCTGCCATTCATCTGAAGGGAGCGCAGAATTCCCTCGCGGACTTCTTAAGTCGGCATCCAGTCAAGCACTACAAATGGTCTCTCAACCAACAAGTGTTTGCTACCATTACTACGAAATGGGGCATTCCGGAGGCGGATCTTTGCTTACCAAGAGAACAGGAAGGTCAGCCGGTTCTTCTCCCTAAATCCAGGGGTTTGGGCCTTGGGAATAGAAGCCCTCCCAAATGTGTGTTTCCTCCAGTAAGGCTGATCCCAGCAGTCCTGTGAAAATTTTTGTCAGAAAAGACGAACCTCATTCTGGTGGCCCTGTTTTGGCCAAAGAGACCAGGGTTCTCTGCTGTGGAGCCTTTCCTCGGTTTCCTCTTTCAGAGAGGGAGGATCTGGTCATGTCTGTGAATGGAAGACCAAACAAAAACATCCCATTTATCCTTCCACTTCACTGCAAGCAATTTATAATTTTTTTTTTTTCATTTGATTTTTATTACGAATTTAACAGGTTTACATGACATTGCAAGAAAAACAATGGTGTTGAACATTCCTCTACAAACTAGTTGCATATGAGTTTCCAATACACTGAAGATATCTAAGCATATTGTACAAAGGGAAGGATAGGAGGCCAGGGAGAACCTTAACCCCCAATACCTCTGAAGCAGAAAATACATTCGGGAAAGCACTTACCGTATTTTCCGGCGTATAAGACGACTTTTTATACTTAAAAACATACCCCACAATTGGGGGTCTTCTTATACGCGGGGTATAGAATGTCAGCCCACTGGATGTGCGGTAATACTGTACGGTAACTTTGGCTACATACAGTATACCGCACTGAGCTAATCACGGCGAGCGATGTATTCTATTAATGAATACAGAGCCTGCTCAGATTGGCTGAAGTTGTGACATCAACCCGCCTCTCTGACGCAGCCAATCCGAGCACATCACTTGTCGTGATTGGCTCATATGACGTCCTCCCATTCTCCGCGCATGCGCGGCTCACGGAGCGATCGGCGATGCGCTGTGTCCCTTGGACACAGCGGATCACTGATCACAGAGCCAAAGATGTCGGCTCGGTCATGTGACCAGCTGTGTCCAATCACAGCTGATCACATGTAAATGTGGAAATGCCATTTATCGGCATTTCTCTCCTCTCGAGCTGTCACGCTGACAGAGGAGAGGAGAGCCGGGGTACTCTGCTTTCCGCGCAGGGGACGTGTACACTGAACATCAGGGCACTGATGATCAGTGTGCCCTGATGATCAGTGTAGCCCCAGCAGTGCCAGTGCCCATCAGTGCACATCAATGCCACATATCAGTGCCTACCAGTGCACATCAATGCCACATATCAGTGCCAATCTGAGCTGCCTTTCAGTGTCGCCCATCAGTGCCAGTCAGTGCCGCCTATCAGTGCTTTCAGTGCCCATCAGTGATGCCTGTCAATGCCCATCAGTGCCACCTATCAGTGCCAGTCAGTGCCGCCTATCCGTGCCATGTATCAGTGCTGCCTTTCAGTGCCCATCAGTGATGCCTGTCAATGCCCATCAGTGTCCCCTACCAGTGCCTCCTCAGTGCCCATCCGTGCCACCTATCAGTGTCCATTAGTGCAGCCTATTAGTGCCCATCACTGCAGCCTCATTAGCGCACATCAGTGAAGGATAAAAATCACTTATTTACAAAATTTTAGAACAAAAACTAAGAAAAAACATTTTTTTTTTTTTCAAAACTTAGTGGTTTTTGGTTTAAGAAAAAATAAAAAAACCAGAGTTGATTAAATACCACTAAAATAAAGCTCTTTCTGTCACAAAAAAATGATAAAAATTTCATATGGGTACAGGTTTGCATGACCGTGCAATTGTCATTTAAAGTGTAACAGCGCTAAAAGCTGAAAATTGGCCTGGGCAGGAAGTGGGTATAAGTGCCCTGTAGGCTTGTGGTTAAATGGTGTTGCCTCAGAAGGGGGGTAGTCTTATACGACAAGTATAGCCCAAAACCAAAATGTTTTAACTGGAAAATTAGGGGGTCGTCTTATACACCCAGTTGCCTTATACGCCGGCAAATACGGTAGTTGAAACAGCGACAGTGGGTTGCAATGTCCCCCACTATAGGGTTGGACATCGTCTGAGGATAATGACTTGTGTAGGAGTTGTTGACTGTAATCATATCTGAGGGGTTTGAGAGGATGTGGCTTCTAGGGTCGAGAGACCACAGTGCCCATTTTCTGTGGAACTTTGGAATCGTCAGGTGAGCTTTGCCAATTATGAATTCCATGAGATACTGCTCGTTTGGAAGAGAGGTCACCATTTGGATGGTGGGTGAGGAGGGTTGCTTCCAATTACGAGCTATGGACAATCTGGTAACTGAGAATGTGGGTGACCAGAGAGTGTGCTAATGTGGGCCACTCATCCCAGAAGGGCCGTTTGTGGCTTTAATTTGATAGTGTGGCCTGTTGTTGCGCAAAGAAGACGTTCTGCATCAATCCATAGCTGTACGTATTGGACAAGACCACCAAACGTGTATCATGGATCCTTCCATGCGACAATTTCTCCAACAGTTGGGTGAGGAGGAGGGAAAATTTTTTGCAAGCCTGGTGGGAGTGTAGCACCAACAGAGAATGTGCGGGGGTTTTGTAGTGTCAGGTGCCATGATGTTGGCGACATGTGGAAATTCAGAGTCTGCTCCCAGAACTGCATAGCATCATTTTTAGTCTCTGTATGCAGAGATTTGAAGAATGTGTAGATGAGAGGCCTTTTAATTTAGGTTTTTGAGAGATGTAGAATTGAAGAATGTTGTTGGTGAGATGTGTAGGAGACCAACTTATTGACGATAGAATGTGCCGTATACAAAAGTAGAGATGGAAATCTTGTTTCGGGATTTCAAAGGTAGTGGAGAGGAGTTGGAAAGTTTGGAGGACTTGATGTGAATAAATCTAACTTATCTTTCCTTCCTTCTCTGCCTCCATTCTTTTCCTTTCCCTTGCCTTCATTCCTTTTTACTTTCCCTTACATTCCTTCCTTCCTTCCTTCCTCCTTTCTTCTTGCCTTCTATCTTTCTTTCCCTACCTTCCCTCCATCCTCTTTCATTCTTCCTTCATTTCTTCTTCTTCCTTTCTTTCCTTCCTTTTTTTATCACATTCTCTCCTTCCTTCTTTCCATTTTTCCTCACTTCCCTCCTTCCTTCTCTTCTTTCCTTTCTTAATTATGTCCCTCTTGCCTTTTTTCCTCCCATCCTTTAATCTATCCCTCCATCCTTCTCTTCCCTTCCCCTCCTTCTTTCCTTCCTTCCTTCCTCCCTTCTCTCTTTCTTTCCTTTCCTTCCTTTTCCCTCCTTCATTTATGTTCTTCTGTCCATCTTTCCCTCCTTTGTTCTCTTCCTTCTTTTCTTTACTTCCTTCCTCATTGTCCCTTCCTTCTTTTCTCCCTTATCTCTTTCTTCTCCTTATTTTCTCCCTCATTACTGCACTTCTTTCCTTGATGGTCCAGCGGTGTATAGGAAGGTTTCGGGAGAGGAGAGTCAGTGACATCAGAGGAAAGTGTTCTAGTGTTTGTGCAGAGATGCCTTTGTTTAATTGTAGGATAGAGTACCATACTCTCTTCGTGGCTTTGATAGTGTCCAGAAAAAAGTGAGGTAGGTGGCAGCAGAGCCATAAGGCACTTAAGAAGAGTTGTGGTTCTGCAGGTAGAAGAATGCCTTCAATATGTTTCCAGTTGGTAAAGATTCCGGTGTTCCAGCAGGCTTTGGTTTGGTAAAGGATGGCAGCTTTGTAGTATACTTTGAGATCTGGTTCTCCCATCCCTCCAGACTTGGTTGGGTGATATAGAATAGAGTGGTGCAGACAAGGTCGTTTGTGCTCCTAAATAAAGGAATTGAGAATCGTTTGTATTCTGTGGTAGGAGAGCATGGGGACCGGTAGGATTCTTAAGAGTTACAAGATGTGTGGTAGGAGGAACATTTTAGTGAGTGTGATTCGTCCAGCCCAGGATGTTTTTAGTCCCTTTTAAGTTGTAGATGATTTGTTGCAATTTTGTGCTCAGTAGTTCTATATTAGTACGTAAGAGGGCACAGGAAGGAATAGTTAATTGTATCCTTAGGTATGAAAACATTGAATTGTGTGCCCATGACAATTGCGCTTTTTGCGAGATCTCTAATTTGGTGGCGTGGGTGACATATACATTACTGATTTGGAGTGATTCACTTTGTGTAATGAGGCCCGTCTGAAGTCTTCCAGTATCTGTAGTAGAGTACGGATAGACTGGGAAGGGTTGGATAGGGAGACAATAATATTGTCTGCGTAGAGACCTATTTTATGGGAAACTGTTCCAATCTCAATACCGGTGATTAACGCATTGGCTCTAATTCTGGCAGCTAGGGGTTCAATTACCATGGCAAAGATAACGTTGTGATAACGGGCATCCTTGCCTTGTGCCATTGGTAATGGTTAGTGAGTCGGATAAGTAGCCCCCAGTCCAAATTGTAGCTGTGGGAGAGGAGTAAAGGCCCATGATGGCTTGGAGAAAAGTGCCCATCAGCCTGAACTTTATAAGAACCTGTTCTAAATATTTCCAATGTACCATGTCGAACGCCTTCTCCGTATCCAAAGTGATGAACAGGGAAGGCGTCAGACCTCTTTCAGCGGGCTGAATACTATCGATGAACCTACGGGTGCCATCAGAGGCCTGTCAGTTGGGAATAAACACGACTTGATCAGGAGGATCAGGTATCAGGAGAGGTATGTAAGTTGGGAGGCTAGAAGCTTGGCGTAGAGTTTCAAGTCAGTGTTGAGCTATGAGAGGGGTCGGTAGTTGGCGGGGTTGTCAAAGGTTTTACCTGTTTTAGGAATGGTGATTATGAGTGCCTCTAGGGATCTCACCGGTTGTTATGAATCTATTTAAAGAGGCGTAGAGATGTGGTGGTAGTAGGTCTGCAAAAACCTTGTAGTATTCATTACAAAACCCATCCAGTCCCGGGCTTTTGTGTAGTAGAAGGGATTTAATAGCCAAAAGTTCTTGTTCTGTAAAGGGCTAGGCAATTTGGTCAAGTTGGGTAGAGGTTAGTGAGGGTAAGTGAACTGTGGATAGAAAGGCCTGTCTCACTGTTTTGGGGAGGCACAACAATACAGAAGAGGTAGTATATTATAGAGCTTATCGTAAAAGCAGTTGGCAATGTCAACTGGGCCTGTGCATCTTTTGCCCTGTGGGTTTGTCAGATACGGGATTTTAGATTGAGCTATTTTGCGCTTATATTGAGTGGCCAGTACTTTAACCGGGTCTGTTACCTTGAGAGTACCATGAGTCATAGGCGTTTGATGTAAAAATCAAAGCATTTGGAGAGATGGGAACTGAGTTCAAGTCTTAATTTGCAGTTATTCGGCAGTGTGTTTGGTAGGGGAGATTTATTGTGGTATTCAAGTGTCTTGATACGGTCAAGATATTGAGGCGTGTATTCAGCGCGTCTTTTTCTCATGGGCACCAATTTTAAGAAAGATTCCTCTGAGCACCGATTTGTGAGCATTCCATAGAGTGGTGGAGTTTGTTACTGAGTCAGCATTAACAGAAAAATAGGATTCTATGTCAGACCTGATCTGTGGATTGTAGATTTTGTGGGACAGGATAAAGGGGTTGAGTCTCCATACAGAGTGAGACTTGGTTACAGGACCCATAGTCAGTCTCATTGTTAGCGGTGCTTGGTCCGACCAAGCAATGAGCCCAATCGTTACAGATAAAACTTGTTTGAGAGATTTAGAGGTGAGAAACAGATCAAGTCTGGAATAGGAGGAGAAAAAGGTACAATCCCGCTCAGTGCCATGCACACACCGCCAGTTGTCATATACAGTTGTGTTCAAAATAATAGCAGTCAGACATAACTAACCTGATCAATCACTGTTTTTGGTAGAAATGATATTTCTGCATGGCAAATAATTTACTAGCAGGTGTAGTAGAGTAATAGAAATCCAACAGACCCAACAGTCATGACATGCATGCTGCTGATTCTGTGTAATTGAATCACTAATTGAAAGGGGCATGTTCAAAATAATAGCAGTGTGGAGTTCTATTAGTGAGGTCATTCATTCTTTGAAAAACAGGTGGCAATTATTGCCCTTAAGGAAGGAAGGCAGCAAATGTTGTACATGCTGGTTACAGTGCATTTCTCTCTGAAATTCTGAGGAAAATGGGTTGTTCCAGACATTGTTCAGAAGAACAGTATACCTTGATTAAAAAGTTGATTGGAGAGGGTAAAAACATATAAAGAAGTGCAGAAAATGATAGGCTGCTCAGCTAAAATGATCGGAAATGCGTTAAAATGGCAACCAAAACCTGAAAGACGTGGAAGAAAGCGAAAATGGATATAATGGATAGAAGAATAGCCAAAATGGCAAGGACTAAGCCAACAATCAGCTCCAGGAAGATAAAAGAACGTCTAAAGTTACCTGTGAGTACTGTTATAGTATTATACTATGTACTATA